ACATAACACACACACACAGGGGCTCCTGGGTGGTTCAGTTGGTTGGGTGTCTGACTTCAGCTCAGCTCATGATCTCACAGTCCATGAGTTCGGGCCCCGTGTCAGGCTCTGTGCTGACAGCTCAGAGCCAGGAGCCTGCTTCGGGTTCTGTGTCTCCCCCTCTCTCTCTCTGCCCCTCCCCTGATCATGCTCTGTCTCTCTCTCTCTCTCAAAAATAAATAAAAACATTTTTAAAAATTTTAAAAGAAAATAACACACACACAGGTTGATTTACTATATGGAATAGGAATTGGCTCGTGAAATTATGGAAGCTGAGAAGTCCAAGATCTTCAGTGGGCAAGCTGGAACATCTAGCAAACTGGAGACCTGAGAGAGCCAATGGTGTGGTTCCAGTGTGACCGAAGGCCTGAGAACCAGAAAGAGTCAGTGTTTCAGTTTGAGTCCAAAAGCAAGAAAAAGTTGATGTCTCAGTTTGAAGGCAGTCAGGCAGGAAGCATTTCCTCTTATCTGGGGGGGGGGGGGGGGGGGGGGCAGCCTTTTTCTTCTATTCAGACCTTCAACTGATTGGATGTGGCCCACCTATATCAGGGAGGACAATCTACTTCACTGAATTCTAATGATTTAAATGTTAATCTCATCCAAAAACACCCTCACGGAAACACCCGGAACAATGTTTGATCAAATATCAGGGCATCCATGGCTCAGTCAAGTTTACACATAAAACCAACCATCACAGTGGGGAGGGCAAAGGTACAGGCATTCTCCACAGAGGTCTTGGCCTGTGGTAGGTTCACTGGAGGATGTGCCAGCAGGCTGGCAGTGAGGGTACACGTGATTAGGTTGTCTAGGCAGTGGGCCAGGTTCTGTCCTCTGACTCATGGAAGGGAAGAAGAGAGGAAGGGACTTCTCTCTGTAGCTTCCTGGGCTCTTCAAGTCTGGCCATCAGAGGTCAGATGGCCCCAGACCTCCAGTGCAGGCCAGGAGGAGATGCACATGAGCGGGGGTGAGATGAATTGACCTAGGTGACAGAGATTCATGCTGAGGACAAAGGTTTGTTTTTAGCTCTGTGGTAAAGTGAGCCAGGTTACTGGGAGTAGGTGGACAGTAAGCAGGGATGGCTGCCTTGGCTTCCACTTCTAGGCCAACCCCAAATATGTGACAGGGGAGGGGAGATGTGCCCTCCCCTCTAACTGCCCCGGATGACTTTCTCTCTAGCTCTCCCCATCCCTTCCTCCTGCAGGTGCTCCCTCTAGTGCCTCATCTCTAACTGTTTGCTGCTGTGGTTGAAGGGAAAGCAATCAGCTCAAGATCCCACTTAGGGTCAGGTTACAAGATTAACTCCAAACAGGATTAGGCTCATCCTTACAAAGCTGAATCCTTTGCATTGTAGTGAGAGTGGGGTCTCATCCTTTCTAGACAAGACTTACCGTGACATGTTGTAAAATCTCTCCAACTGGAGTGGATTGTGTTAGCCAAATGTAAATAGATTATGCTCCCAAGTCAGAGCATTTCATTAATATGCCATACATAATTAGAACCTTTGTAAGGACTTTTGCACATTGTAAAGTACAATTCAATAAGAATAAGAAAACAATAGCAAACATTTATTGGTCACTGTGTGCCCAGAGATCCCGTACTATGAGCCTCATATGCATTTTGTCATCAGAATAATCCTATGGGGGTAGATGCTGTTACTCATCCCCCTTTTCCAGATGAGGAATTGTGGTTTCAGGAGATGAAGTAACTTGCTAGTATAGATCCCATGTTGATTAGACTGGACATGTCCTGACCCCATACTGCCCATGCCTTTAACCCTGTGGTATCACCTCCAATAACATGCAGCTGTGACCCAAAGAAAGCTCTCAGTCCAGTCAGAAGGCCCCTACTTGGCCCTTGTAATCCCCCAGGTTTGGCAAGGCTTGTGTCTCCACACACGAGTTACAAGCATCCATCTGGTAGACCCCGATAGCCCAGAGGGGTCTGTTCCTAGCTGTGGCATTACTAGAAAAATAGCCTCTGAGGAAGTTTTGTTTCTTTCTAATGCTTGAGACAAGGTTGCATTTGAGAGAAGAAACTTCGCAGCAAGATCTCTACTTCCGCCTTTCCCAAACATCTACTTGGGCCTGGCTGCCCTCTGGCTGAGAGGAGAGAGCCTGCTGGGGAAGATGCAGGCTGGGAGGCCATGCTCTACACCCCTGCTTTACCAGTTTGAAGGGAATTATGGCCCATCCATTATCACCCTTTTCTTAGATGGGCTCTCTAAAAGGAACAGAGAGGGCGCCTGGGTGGCTCAGTCGGTTGAGCCTCCGACTTCGGCTCAGGTCATGATCTCATAGTTTGTGAGTTGGAGACCTGCATCAGGTTCACTGCTGTCAGCACAGAGCCTGCTTCGGATCCTTTGTTCTTCTCTCCCTGTGCCCCCCCCCCCCCCCCCCGTGCTCACGCTGTCTCTCTCAAAATAAAGAACATAATAAATAGATGGATAGATAGATCGATAGATAGCAAGCAGAGAATAAAGAATTGAAAGGGGATGTTGTTGGCAGCCAGGTTTGGATGGCCTGGGGAGGAATGCCTGAAAGAGAGAAGGCCTCCCTGTGAGTCACATTGCTGTCCAGTTTTCATAGGGGAAGAGCTCCAGGTACAAAGAGCGACTACTTTGGTTTTTGGTTAAAACAGAAATGCTCAGACTTAACTAACAACTTTATGGGTTCATATATGATGTAGAGGTTTATCATATCCAAAGTGAAGGAAAAAACTATAGTGCATTACTTATTGCCTGTTCCTGTCTGTAGCTCTCCGAGCTTAACTTGAAAGCTGTAGAAGGTTAGACTGAGGAAGGAGAGGTAATATAGTGGGGCCAGCGTGTTTCTCCTTCGTCACCTCATCTGTGAAGAGCATCCTGGAAGGAGTGTTCTCAAACAGAGGTAAAACCACCACTGAATTTACACTGTGGGATTAGACACACTTCTGTTGCTGAGAAGATCTAGAGTCACATCTCTTTTTCTAAAGGAGCCAAATGCAGGCAGGAGCCGGCCCCAGCAAGCAGGAGGCCCCTTCATTTCCAGCTGAGCCATGTGTTTGATTGTGGGGGACTTGCTACTGGTTTTCCTGGAAAATGTGGTTGTTTGAAAACACAGAGCATGGGATTAGTTCCTTTTGTTATTTGGGTGAGAAGCTCCCTCAGCAGTACACTGCTACATTGCCTTGACATCTACATATTTATGCCTGTCCAGGTGACTGTTCCCAAAGAGGTACACTTGGTAAGTGTTAAGTGTAGTGAATCCTGTGTCAGACCTAAAGGCCAAGGATATACTAAGGACCTTGAAATGACCTCCCAAATGTATCAAGGAGAAGAGTGATTTTCTTCATAACCCCATCCATCCACCCACCTATCCACAGTCCAGTGCAGTTCTGAATGTAGATGCCTCAAAACAGGCCTCCACTATTTTTAATGAAGGGGACCTAGTTTTTCTTTACCTGAGACCTATAGAGATTACCACATGAATAGTGCAGGAGCACAGGCTAAAAACCAGAAGAGATTCACAGTAGGTGTCTCTTCTTCCTTGGGAATCCTGAGAAAATTGTAGCAACAGGGTAGAGCGTGTGATAACCAGCTTGACTACCCACGAAGGAAAACGTCCAGCTTTGGCAGGTCGGGGTTCCTCTGCTTCAGAGTTCAGTTAGTATATATTCAGTTTAGCCTAGACATGTCCTTCTATGACCTTTCAATATCCTTGCAGTTTGTTATTTTCTGCCTTCTAAAAATGGAGACCCTGAGCATCCCTGCAAGCCCTTGTTCCTTGTGTAGCACAACTGGGGTCCTGTCTTTGGGGTTGGTGCAGCTTATCCTTTATTTCCTGAACCACATTAAAATTGAATTTGGAGTGTCCTGGCTATTAATGGCATTATTAGCTTTCCCCATGGCCTCAGAAAGATGCCAACAATATATCCTTTTTCAAGTAGATTATCATGTGTATCTACATACACCTACCTCACACCCAGTGTGGTGGAGTTGCAGGGGGTCCAACATTGTCCAAAGACAGCTCTATTCCCCAGCTCCTTTTCCCTGCAAATCCTCCTTAGTGCTCACTGAAGTTCTTAGAGCTCTCAAACCCCAGTTGCTGAAAGGTCAGAGAATTAGGCAATTTGCCCCAGTATGACCCTTTTAATGTCCCTATTGTTACTGTATATAAAATAGCTTGAACTTGTGCTTATATCCTAAAAGCTTTGTTTAAAATTTTTATTATTGCTGCGCTTTTATAGCCAATAAATGCAGAATTCAGAGAAGACTGCTTTTATTAAAGAAATTGCAACCAGCCACTTTTGACCAAAAGCTTATTGAAAGAAGTCTCATGAGCACAGTGAGGTTTGCCACAAGACATGTTGTGACAGCTGCAGAACAAAGCGTTGCTGATGCCGCCTCCAGCTGCCCTCAACAATCCTAAGGAACACTTAACTTGCCCTTTGTCTGGTGGCTTATATCCAGACTTAGTCAATCCTCCAAAAATGACTGAGTGATTTTGAGCCTTAAACAACAGGCTGGTGGGGGCTGTGATTTCTGATTTGGGCTTTCACTGTAGGAAACCCCAAGAAGCTCACCTGTTCCAATCCAGTGGAGTCTGGACATTTCGTATTTTTATCATCTCCTCAACCTTCTTTCTTAAAGTCAACCTTATTAAAATGGATTTTTTTTTCTCCCTAGGTAATGACCAAATCACATCCCCCACTCTCATCAGATTTAAAGTCAAACTCTTTGTTACAGGATACAGTTCCAACAGTTGCCATGTGTGTGCTCTGTTAAGTCAACGCCCAAGAAGCTTTCACCCTTAAGTCTATATTCGGGGAAAGTTTGTATTACGTATCTTATGTTTTCTCCCCAATAGTAGTCACGAAAAGAAGGGGCGGTTTTCCACTTCAGATTTTCATGAAATGTTAGAAAGGGTAAGAGTTTGATTAAATTGTGTGCCATTAATCATAAGTGCTTTTTTTTTTTTTTTTAGGTTGCATTTGATGCCAGAAGGCAAACACAACCTGCATCTACGTTTTGCAAATGAATTCAATAAGTTAGCAGAAGACTTCTTACAATAAGAATGCCCACTGCTGGGAGCTGGGCATTCCTTAGTGTGGGGCTTCAGCCTGTTGCCACCTGTGAAACACACCCGTCACACCTCACCTGCCTCCCATGCTTTCTACTCCCTGCAAAGTACTCTCAGACATACACAAATAATGACCTATTAAAACGTCTTCTAGGGGCATCTGGGTGGTTCAGTGGATTAAGTGTCTGCTTCTGGATTTCAGCTCAGGTCACGATCTTGTGGTTCATGAGTTCGAGCCCTGCATCCTGCTCTGTGCTGACAGCTCAGAGCCTGCTTGGGATACTTTCTCTCTGCCCCTCCTCCCCTCATACTCCCTCTAAATAAATGAATAAACACAAACAAACTTAAAGTCTTGTAGCTATAAAGGCTACAAAAATTAGATCTGATTTTTTAAACATTAAGTTGTGAATTCTACCATTAGTTAAAATAAATTCTGGTTGTGATTTACTTTCTCTTGTATCTTAGGTGAAGCATTTGGAGTATTTATCACTGTTATTTCAGGGTACATTGAATCTTGAATTTATGCTGTACTTTTTATCTGAGAGGTACAAGTTTTCGCTGGTCTTTTTACTTGTGTTTATCACATTGTTCAAAGTAGAGAAACACGACCCTCCATACTACATTTTCACAAGGGTTGCTGGAACTACAGCAAGTAAGGGAGGAAGGTTTGCTTTGTCCTTAAATCTCGATTCACTCCTGGACATGTTTACTGGATTCATTTACTTTAATACTTGGGGTCAGTGAAAATGAAAAATATGTCTTTATATCTGTCTTTATTAAAAGAGCAGAGAAGCCATTAACTTAAAAATACTTAACAAAAATCCAATTTTGTTAAGATGACTAAACCCAGAAGCATTTACTGGAAGGGCACCCGGGTGGCTCAGTCATGAGCTCACTGTTCTGGATGTTGAGCCTGGTGTCCAGTTCTGCCCTAACAGTGCAGAGCCTGCTTGGAATCCTCTCTCCCTCTCCCTCTGCCCCTCCACCACTTGTGCGCACGCTTTCTCTCAAATAAATATTAAAAAAGAAAAAAAAAAGATAAGATGTAGTGAGTTAAAAACCAAAAAAAGCATTTAGTGGAATAAAAATTACCTGAAATGAAAAAAGAGACCACACAGTTTTAGACACATGCTTTTTTATTAGTATAGATATCTTAGACAATACTGTAATTTTAGGAGTTCCACATTATTACATCAACAGTGTGAATTTCTGACAGAGGCAAAACTGAGCACCATAGTATACAAATAGAAAGACCATGCTTGATTGAGGACAACAGAAGTTCACTAAAGATGCACGATGTATTTGAGAAGTCCTTAAGCCTCGTCCTCGCCCTCCTCCTCCTCGAACTCGCCCTGCTCGTCGGCCGTGGCGTCCTGGTACTGCTGGTACTCGGACACCAGGTCGTTCATGTTGCTCTCGGCCTCGGTGAACTCCATCTCATCCATGCCCTCGCCCGTGTACCAGTGCAGGAAGGCCTTGCGCCGGAACATGGCCGTGAACTGCTCCGAGATGCGCTTGAACAGCTCCTGGATGGCCGTGCTGTTGCCGATGAAGGTGGCCGACATCTTGAGGCCGCGCGGCGGGATGTCGCACA